CGTGGAAACCCCGAGGCGCCGCTGGGAGGCCGGGCTGCGGGCGCGGCGCTGCTCCCGCGCCCGCCCCTGGCTCACGTCGGGTGTTGCTTTGGCCGACAGCTGGGGCCGCGAGGATGGCGGCCCCGTCCATGAAAGAAAGGCAGGTCTGCTGGGGAGCCCGGGACGAGTACTGGAAGTGTTTGGACGAGAACATGGAGGACGCTTCTCGGTGCAAGAAGTTAAGACGCTCATTTGAAACAAGCTGCCCCCAGCAGTGGGTAAGCCACACCTGCGCGCGTTTCTGTTTGCTCGTAAAGCGTGGAGGGTGCGGGGCGAGTGGTAGGCGGTGAAGCGAGGCGGCCTTAGGCACGTTCACGCGGCGGGAAAGCCGGTCCGGCCGGCAGGCTGGGGCCTGTGCTGTTATCAGGCCGCCCCTCGGACAGTGTCACATGACACTTTAAGGCTCATTGAGACACAAAACACATGAACAAAGCCAAAAAACCCAGCCCACTGAGTTGGTAGACTTCTTTCTCCAGGAGCTTCCAAAGGGACAGTATTTAATCTTGGGCAAATTCGTTGGCCCAGAGCTACTCTCACAGTTGCCTGCCGCACATCACAGTCATGTACCCAAAATACAGTGAGGAGCTTAGAAAGTAAAAGAAAATGCTGATAACGGCAGCTTCTGCCACCAGCTTGCCCCAGACGCCTCCCTGACAGGTGTTCCTGCTCTGTATGGTGGGTGCTTAGTATGGCAGGGGCTGGAAAAGGGAACCTACACATTGAGCTTATTCGTAAGCCACGCTGTGTTATGACACTTCTTCGTCAGTCAGTATCCTTTAAGATGAGTGCTCTTGGGGAGCAGCTGGAGCTCAGAACATCCAGGCCACGTGCTCAGTATTGGTCACAGTGGCAGCGCTGTAAGGCCCAGCAGGTGGGCAGGATTTGAACCTGATTTGTCTGCGTTCTCACAGCATCATGCTGCTCCAGAGTCTCCCAGGTAGCTTGAGAACAGATCACTTTAGAGGTGAGGTGGCTTTAGGGTCTTCACCTTCTCACACCTCAGCTTTTTTAGAGGAGACTTGAAGGAAACCACTAGCAAGGTGTGATGGAGGGTGGGGTGATGTCGGAGGGCTAGGCAGGGAATGAGCTCAGTGAACAGAAAGTGCATTAGGTGACCTCTTCACCTTTAAAACCAGCATGATGCAACTTGTCTCATGGGATTACTATGAAGGTCAGATGTCTGACTTGGCATATGAACTGAAAACTGCTAAGTGTGGGTCTTGATGATTGGATTAGNTAAAACCAGCATGACGCAACTTGTCTCATGGGATTACTATGAAGGTCAGATGTCTCACTTGGCATATGAACTGAAAACTGCTAAGTGTGGGTCTTGATGATTGGATTAGATAATGATTTAGGGGGAAAATAGTTCTACATCTCTGATTATTCCCCTTAGATTCATTGAGAGTGACTCTTGGCTTAAGAAGTAGTTAAAAAATTATGGGAGTTTGGGCTGACATCAAACCTGATTCCTTTTAGACTCGGTACCATCACTGCCCACGCTGTCCCCTTCTCACTCTGCTCTCTAGCCGTGGTCACTGAGAACAAGATGGGACTGAGGACAGGGAAGGACCTGGGTCTCTGCAGGTGGGAGTGGGAGTGATGGAGGTGAAGAGCCAGCCCTCAGAGTAAGTCGTGGCCAGCATGTGGGCAGGTCCCACCCTCACCCCACCCCCACATTTTCTCAGGAGACCCTTGTTATTGTGAGACCGGTCTTTTGACAGCATCACGATAATTACCCACTGCGGCTGCATATCAGAATCAGGTGATTTTTTTAAAAAATAGCTATGTCCCAGTCCTCACCTCCAATCTACTGAATTTCTGGAAATGGAATCCAGACTTCTTTCAAAAGCGCTCTGGCTCCCCAAGTGATTCTGGTGGAGCTCAGTTGGGAGTCATTGTCTTAGCCCCTTTGGTCAGTCACACTGCTGTCCCCTGATCCCCACTGCTTTTTCTCCAATCCAGTGCCTATTGACCCTCCCTCTCCCCTATTTTCAGGGCAGCTTCTGTTCTCTGCATCATAAAAGGTTTTTACAGCCAGCCAGTTGCTTCTTTATGGTGTGTCTCTTCCGCTCATGCTCATGCTCAGGCTGAGAGCCCCTCAGGAGGCCTCCCTCTCTCTTGTCACTGCGCCCTAGTCACAGCTAACACTTCCTGAGTACGAGCTCTGCGCACTTCAAACCTCTCATCTACCTCATGTAATCCTCACAGTACCCAATTGTGTAGACAAGGACACAGGCACATTGAAATGAAGGCACATGTAAGTGCAGAGCCTGGATCTGAGCTCACAGGTTGAGTCCTGCCCCACATGCTTCTTCCTGTGCCTGTCATGCAAGAAAAGGGCCCATGAAAACAGCCAGCTCAGTCTCGTGTTGTTCCAGAAATGCAGTCTTAATTCAAGTCTGTTTAAACACAGAAGCCCTGTCTCCTGGGTCCTGTCACAGTTCACTCCCTAGTATTCCTCCGTCTCAAGCAGCCACTGCTTCTTGGAGTGCTTTCCTGTGTGTCTGGTAAATGCCAGCAGTCTTTAGACACCCTTCTGTGCTACCCCATCCCCAGCCACTCCTGGCTACAGTCAGGGCCTGAAGTACCACTTACAGGTTGATGCCCAGATCTGCATCCCAGCCCAGCCCTGTCTCCACCTCCACAAGCACCTATTGAGCTTTCTGGGTGGATGTTCACAAGGACCAGCCTCTGCATAGACAAGACTCAACCCTCCCCAGCAGGCGTGTCCTCCCATGCTCCCGACCTCAGTGAGAGACATCAGCATCAACACAGGCAGTCCCAGAGAGCAGGGTGTCGGCCTTCACCTTGTGTGTTGCTGAAGGAGTGTTCTCAGGAGGGTCGCACAGGAACACACACAACAGCCCTGCAGTGTGTTTAAGGAACAGCAAAGAGAGAATAGCAGAAGTTAGGGTCCGAGAGGTGCTGGGAGGACGTGGACGGTGGCTCTTAGTCTGGATGACATGGGAAGCCATTGGAGAACCTTGAGTTGGGAGAAAGGAGACCAGTGAGGAAATGAAAGGGGTGACAGTTGGGATCAGTGGGGTGTTGGCATCAGGGTGCTAGAGGGAACATGAGGAGGCAATGGTCCGAGGATAGATCAGGACTTGGGACTGTGGAAGGGCTGTATTTGTTGGTAAGGACAAGGTCTAGGCTTCGATCCTGGGAGTCAAGAAGATGGGAGGACAAGACCATTGAAGAGGTCAAGGAGCCGAGAGGCCAGGGCATTGGCAGGATTAACCATGTGGGTCCCGAATGAACCCGAGCTGAGACTGTTGAAGAATGAGCTATAGAAGGGCCAACAGGAAGGGAGGTGGGGAGCAGGGCAGTGTTCTCGTGGACTCTGCAGCACTGACAGCCACAGCCACTGGCACTTAACACCGGCTCCTCCACAGCACTGCTCGTTCAAGTCCACAACTGGTTCTCCTCAGCCTGCTCCTTGGTCTTTTGCTCCCTTTCACTGCGCTCTCTGCTCAGGTGTGACCTGTTGCAGTCTTACCCAGTAGCCATAGAATGAAGACAGCTGCTTGAGGAGGTGGGGAGGTGGGCGGGAGGGGAGAAAGGAAGTATCGGTGGAGTGCATTCTGTGTGAGATACTGTCTTCATTCAGCCTTGTGAGGTCTTGAGCGAAGGTCAGAAAGGTGAAATCATTTGTTCAAGGTCAGCCAACCCATAAAGTTGTAGAGGGGATTTGAATGTATGTCTCTGATTCCAAAATTTGTGTTCTTTGACTTAACGGAAGTCACAGCCAAAGATTTACAGTGAATCATTCTGTCATAAGACACTAAAAACACAAATTCGTTACATAGTATGTCAAACAGCTAATAGGCAAGTTTTGTCACAGAAACGAGGCACTTTGCTGGTCCCTTTCATATCACTCCACTCCCTATACATGGTCTTAGTCAGTCTCCTGTTCATAGCTCAGGAAGGAGCAGGGATCAGGCCCTTCTAGCACATCCAACAGCATCCTCCACAAGTAGAGCAACCACACCTCCAGGATATCGGGTCCCAGTGTCAATTTCAGATATTTTTCCTGTAAAACTTTAAAAAGTCTCAAATTCCGAATTTTGACACTACTGCCGTGCATCTGGATTAGTGGGTTAGAGGCCACTCTCACTATCTGTACCCAGTGCCTCTCAGGAAATGCTTGCTGATTCATTAGCCTTTCAGAGAAGGTGACATGTATTGGGGGCCCTCAACTAATTGAAGGAAGTGAAGGCTGGGGAGTGGGCTTTTCAAGCTGAGAGTGTGGTACATGCCAAGGAGGCAAATGCAAGAGAAAAGNGTTGGGGGCCCTCAACTAATTGGAAGTGAAGGCTGGGGAGTGGGCTTTTCAAGCTGAGAGTGTGGTACATGCCAAGGAGGCAAATGCAAGAGAAAAGCCATTCTGGAGATGGGGTAGCTGGGTGCCGGGGCTGGTGGTACAGAGGATGGGCAGGTGGGCAGAGATTATGCCATGAGAGGACTTGTCTTACGAGGGGTTTGGATGTTAACCTTGAAGGCCATGGGGCTCCCTTGAAAGATCTTTAAACGCAAGTGACAAGATCAGATGTGGGTTTCAGAAAGATTGTACTTGGCAGCAGTGTGACCGATGGATCGAGGAAGGTGGAGAAAGCAGGTCAAGAGCTATTAAAACCACCCCAGTGAGATGAGGGCCTGCCTGTGGAGACCAGGAGGGGAAAGACATCTGAGTGTCTGGGCGGAAAGTGGCACAGCACTGAGGTGGCCACTGGAGGAGAAGCACATGTGGAGAGGAGCCAAGTTCTGGACAAGCTGTGACTGAAATGATGGAACCTCTAAATGGGATTGTCTATTAGGCTATTGGAGACAGGACAGGAAATGCAAAGATCTATTGATTTGCCACAAAAAGTGTTAAGGACATTGTCCACTCCTCCTGTGGTATCCCTTGTATATAACAGCCGCCCAGCTTGGCCAGCCGGAGACCACCAGAAGTCTGTAGTCTGCCAGTCAGATTTATTAACATGCTGTAACCAGGGAGACTGACCACACACCAGAGGAGCTGTGGGCATCTCACCAACCAGAGGGAAGGCCAATCAGGATTTGGGGAAAGGGTGGGGTTTAGGTGAAACTGAAACAAAGGGGTGCTTTAATAGGCTTAGAGCAAAACAGGGCTGAGTACAAATAGGTCATCGTCAGCTCGAGGTTGAGAAGTGGACCTGGGGTCCTGTTCCCAGATAAAAGCTGTATGTCGTGTTCAGAAACCTTCAGCTGAAGCCCTGCACCTGGTTAGACATCAAGGCTGCTCCAAGTTAGAGCCTTAGGTCCTCCGGGCAGAGTGAGTCTTTCTCAGTTGTGCATACTCAAGAAGCAAATTCCTGCTAGTCTGTGATGTCAGAGAGCAAGATCTTGGTGAATAAGAAAGCAGTCATCACCCAGCTGGTGTGGCTCAGCGGTTGAACCTGGGATCCAGGAGATGGTGGTTCTATTCCCGGTCAGGGCATGTGCCCGGGTTGTGGGCTCGATCTGTAGTCAGGGGGCCTGTAGGAGGCAGCTGATCAGTGACACTCTCTCATCATTGATGTTGAAGATTTCAAAAAAAAAAAAAGCAGTCGTCACTCAAAGCAGTCTCTTAGAAAACCCCATGGCTGTTCTGTGTCCTGGGAGAAACATTCAAGTCGAAGCAGCTTTATTTGTGTCTCATCCTAGCTTGAGACAGGGCTGGCAGGGTCTTACACTCAGTCTCAGCTATGTTTCACTTCCTCAGGTGCCACTGAAATATGTAAGAATTCAATCCTAAGAAAAGTTCACAACAAAAGTGTTTTCTATTCTGACAGTAAAACAAGTNAGCAGTCACTCAAAGCAGTCTCTTAGAAAACCCCATGGCTGTTCTGTGTCCTGGGAGAAACATTCAAGTCGAAGCAGCTTTATTTGTGTCTCATCCTAGCTTGAGACAGGGCTGGCAGGGTCTTACACTCAGTCTCAGCTATGTTTCACTTCCTCAGGTGCCACTGAAATATGTAAGAATTCAATCCTAAGAAAAGTTTACAACAAAAGTGTTTTCTATTCTGACAGTAAAACAAGTGACATTCTGCCTTTGCCTTGTCTGCAAAGGAGCTCAGATACAGGCACTGACGGTCCTGTGGTTGGCCTTGGTTTCCCACCTCTGGGATTGTGCTGCTTTAGGGTGTGGGGCTTTAAGATACTTCACATTCTTTTTTTTAATTCACTCATCCCCCCTACTTCCTCCCTTCTGTCAACCATCAGCTTGTTCTGTGTGTCTGTGGGCCTGTTTGTTTTGCTTTGCTTATGCATCTGTTTTGGTTTTTTAGATTCCCCATATAAGTGAAATCAGTATTTTTCTCTGTCTGACTTATTTCACTGAGCATAATACCCTCGGTCCATCCGTGTTGCAAATGGCAAGATTTCATTCTTTCTTGTTGCTGAGTAGTATTCCATTGTGTACATGTACTCACCGTCTTTACCCAACAGTTTATTGATGGACACCGAGGCTGCTTCCCCATCTCAGCTATTATACATAATCCTGCCATTAACATAGGGGTGCATCTGTCTCTCCGAGTTAGTGTTTTTTTCTTTGGATAAATACCCAGAAGTGGAGTTGCTGGGTCATTTGGTAGTTCTATTTTTAATTTTCTTAAGGAACCTCCATACTGTTTTCCACAGTGGTTACACCAGTTTCCAGTCCCACCAACAGTGCATGAGGGTTCCCTTTCCTTCACATCTTTGCCAACACTACTTGCTTGTGGATTTACTGATGACAGCTGTGCGAGGTGATGTCTCATTGTGGCTTTGATTTGCATCTCCCTGATGATGTGATGTTGAGTACCTTTTCATGTAATTGCTGGCCATCTGTATATCTGTCTATGGAAAAATGACCATTTTTTAACGTAGAGAATTTAGTTACCTTTAATTTTATTAATTTTTGCCACTAAGCTTTCTTTAAGATTATATAACTATATTATTTTTTTCTCCAAAAAAAGTTTTGTATTGTTGAATCCAGTTAATACTTTGTTGAGAATTTTTGCATCAAGGATATTGGCCTTTAATTTTCTTTTCTTTTGGGGGGGGGGTTAATGTCTTTTTTCTGGTGTTTGTATCACAGTAATGCTGGATTCATAGGATGAATTAGGAAGTGTTCCTTCCTCTTTGATTTTTTTTTTAAATAGTTAAGGATAGGTGTTAATTCTTCCTTAAATGTTTGNCGAATTAGGAAGTGTTCCTTCCTCTTTGATTTTCTTTTTTTTTAAATAGTTAAGGATAGGTGTTAATTCTTCCTTAAATGTTTGGTAGAATTCACCTGTGAAGTCGTCTGGTCCCAGATTGTTTGTTGGGAGTTTTTTAAATTATTGCTTCAGTTTCATTACTAGCAATAAGTCTGTTCAGATTTCTTATTTTTTTTCCTGGTTCGGTCTTGGAGGGTTACATGCTTCCAGAAAAATTGAATTTGTTGGCATGTGATTGTAGTATTATTTTTTAAGTGGGAGGACTAATGCTGCCTGATTTTATTTTATTTTTTAAATATATCTTTACTGATTTGGGAGAGAGACAGAAACATCAACAATGAGAGAGTCATTGATCGGCTGCCTCCTGAAGGCCCCCAACTGGGGATCGAGCCCAAAACCCAGGCATGTGTCCTGACTAGGAATCAAACCCTGACCTCCTGGCTCCTAGGTGAATGCTCAACTGCTGAGCCACACCTGGCCAGGCTGTAGTATTCTTTAATGATGTTTTATATTTCTGTGGTGTCGGTTGTAAATTCTTTCATTTATGATTTAATTTGGCCGCTTTCGTTTTTTCTTGATGAGTTTGGCTAANAAATTCTTTCATTTATGATTTTATTTAATTTGGCCGCTTTCGTTTTTTCTTGATGAGTTTGGCTAAACGTCAATTTTGTTTTTTCAAAGAACTAGCTTTTAGATTCATTGATCTTTTTGTTTCTGCTCTGATCTTATTTCCATCTTTCTGTTTACTTTGGGTTTTGCTCTTTTTCTGATTCCTTTAGTTGTAATCTTAGATTGTTTAGGATTTTTCTTGTTTCTTGAGGTGGGCCAGTATAGCTATGAACTTCTCTCTTAGGACTGCTGTTGCTGCATCCATAAATTTTGAAAAGTTGTTTTTTTATTTCCTGTTTGATTTAGATTACATTTCTTAAGAAGGTTTATGACTTAATGGTCTACGCCCTTTTCCAAGACCTTTATACATCAAATGCACTGGTGTGAAATGGTTCTAGTATATCAATAACTCAGGTCACTTATACAATTTATAATGAATAATTTGCTACATTTAAATCTGTGCTTTTATTTAAACTAAGCTGCATAACTTGCCCTTTTTTCAAATTCTTTTTTTCTCAACAGATAAAATATTTTGATAAAAGAAGAGACTACTTAAAATTTAAAGAAAAATTTGAAGCAGGACAGTTCCAGCCTTCAAAAACAACTGCACAGTCGTAGGCTGTTCCTGACTTTTTCAGAAAGGTGGAAACTATTCTTTTTGGACATTCAAAAGTGCTCCATTGACTGTGGGACAATAGTAGTTTGAGTCATGGTAAACAATATATATATAACTTAATTAAAATGATCAAGTAACAGGAGAGTCCCTCAATCAGACAATGACGAATTGAAATAAAATGGTATGAAATATGCTCAGTTTTAATTTAGTAAAGAAATCCGTATTTTAAGAAAAATTTAAAGCCTTTTATAAGAACACATGTATCTGTTTTTTGGTTGCAGGATAGTAGTAGGCAGATATTATAGATACTGAAAAAGTAGGTTGTGTAGCACATCAGCCTGAGCATCAAAGGGTCTCAGGTTCGATTCCCTGTCAAGGGCAGGTACCTAGGTTGCAGATTCTATGCCAGGCCCTGGTTGGGGCACATGTAGGAGGCAACCAATTTCTGTGTTTCTCTCCCCCTCCCTTCCAATCTAAAAATCAATGGGAAAAATATCCCTGGGTGAGGATTAACCAAAAAAAAAGTAGGTTGTCATTATGTGTCCTGGGAGTTACCATTTTAATACAAGATACAAAAAAAGATGAGTGGAAGAACTTAAAATATATANAAGTAGGTTGTCATTATGTGTCCTGGGAGTTACCATTTTAATACAAGATACAAAAAAAGATGATTGGAAGAACTTAAAATATATAAGTAAAATAATAAAGACCATCTACTAAAAAACTTAGCTAATGTCATACTTAATGGTGACAATGAATGTTTTTCCCCAAAAATCAGTAACAAGGTAAGGATATCCTCTCACTTCTATTCACAACTGTAGTGGATTCCTACCTACAAAAAAAATCCCAAAACACATGCTAATTGGGAAGGAAAAATAAAACTGACTCTATTCACAGATATTATCTCTGCAGAAAATCCCAAAAAATCAACAAAAAAGCTCCTAGAACTAATAAGCATATCTTGGAAAAGTGGCAGGAACCAAGGTTAGTATACAAAAGAAAATCACATTCTTGTATACCAGCAGTGAACAAGGGGTAAAAGTTTAAAAGAAAACAATGACTTAAATTTTAGAAGCTGACAGTACCAAGTGCTGATGGGAATGTAAAAATAGTAAAGCCCCTTTATTTAAAAAAAAAACTCCAAACTGTTTCTCAACCAGCTTTTTTGTAGGTATGGACTAGTAACAAGCTGATGCTAAAATCTGTATGAAAAAGCAAAGGACCTAAAGTAGCCAAAACAATTCTGAAAAGAACAAAGTTGGAGGATTCATATTACATGATTTCAAGGCTTATTATAAAACTAATCAAGATAGTATGGTATTGGCAAAAGGATAGAGTTCTATAGAACAGAGTCCAGAAATATTCCCACACAAATAGTCAACTGAGTGCACAAAGGTGTAAAGGCAACTCATTGGAGAAAGGACCATCTTCAACAAATGGTGCTAAAAAACGATGTCCATACACAACAAAATGAACGTTGACATAGCCTCACACCTAGATCTGTAGTCTGCCTTAGTGAACTGCTCTGTTGTCAGTGTTAATTTCTTAGTTCTGGTGAATAAATGCCCATGGTTCTATAAGGTCCCATTAGAGCCATCTGGGAACTACGTACTGTCTTTGCAACTCTTCTGCAAAACAAAAATTATTTGAATAAAGTTATAGAAGAAAAATGCTATATAGATAACAAACTCTGAAATTTAAATATTAAAAAGGACCCAAACATAAGCGAAGTTCATTGCTAAATGGTGATAGTTACTATTAAATAATGAAGTAATCCTGGTGTCAACGAAGTCAGAACAGAACAGAAACAGTGAGTGGGACCCTCATGGGTTCCATGATGTGCAAGAGGAAGTCACTTCCCACTTCCTTTAGGTCCACGTTGGCAGCTGTCAGAACACAGACTTTCTAACCACTACTGAACTCTGAGCAAAGGTGGCAAACTGATTATTTCCTTAAAAAACTTCAAATGAATGATTATGGCCTGGTTCCTGGCTTTAAAAATAAATTAAAACCTATTACCTGAGCATCGTGAACTTCATAGGGAAGCAGCTCAGCACCTTGTCAGACACGAGCCCCTGGGAATAAGTAGAGACAAAGCAGCAAAAATAGGCCAACCACCTCTTCATGCAGAGCCCTTGCTTCCTTATGCCGTAGGGGACAGCGGTCATAGACAACAGCTGCCGTAAGTCTGCCCACTCCACAGTATACTTTTCTGACGATAATAGTTTCTAGGAAGAAATGATCTTTTTAAAATACATTGTTTTATTTCCATAGTTGCTTAAAACATTTTATTAAAGAAGAGGACAACATATAATAATATGTTTAAGGCACATGAAAAAGTTTGGCATTAAATTGTAAGAAAAAAATACTAATTATTCCAGTAAATTCAGAGAATTTCATTTGTCCAAAGTTTTGTTTTGTTTTTTAAATGTTCCATTAGCACTGATAACTCATCTCCAAGAAGGTGTGGACCTCAGGACTGGGTGCCCCCGCGCCTGCGGAGCTGCTGTCTGGTATATTCCCAGATCAGCAGAGCTCCACTCACGTGGACGTTCAGCGAGCGGATGATGCCCTGTTGAGGGATTTCCACACAGACGTCCAGCTGCTGGATCAGATTTGCTGGGATCCCTTCACGTTCATTTCTGGTGAAAAGTGGGAAGAGAAAGGTTACTTTTGTAATAAGCAGTATTTTTCTCAGATATTCTTAATGTTACTAGAAGAGAATGATTAACAAAATGAAGTAAGTCTAAGTTACCAAGGAAATAAGAGGCTAACAAATTCATGGGTCAATTCTGTGTTCACCTGATCATCCCACACAGGTGAAATAAAATGAAAAGTAGGTGGCTTTCCGTGAATGTTACCAGTCAAAGGTCAAGTGCAGGCATAATACCAGGTGTAGTATCAGGAGTCCAGATAAACTAAAATTTCTGAAGCATTTTCTACACCAAGCCTGAGAAGAGTTTTCTTACCCCAGCAGGAGCAGAGCCCTCTCGGGAAAGCAGTAGTGGGTCAGGTCCGCACTCCTGGCTGTCTGCTCCACGCCAATGACCGTGTAGCCTTCTGCTTTCTTCTGCTGCAGGTAGCCCGTCAGCTGAGGTGGTCTTACCTTGAGCAGAATATTAAACCATTCAGTTACAGCCCTACTTGGAGTAAAATCAAGAGTTTTTAAAAAGTAAAGGACAGAATTACACACCATAAATAAGAACTTCCCTAACATCATAGAAATTTATAAAAATTATTCCTACACCAGCAGGGCACATTTTTCTGAAAATAATTCTACATTATTGATTTCTAAAAATAAAAGGAGCAGGAGAACAGAAATGGGCTGTATTTTACTTCAAGAATTATTTTTAAACTATTAAAGGCTGGACTACTATAAACTACTACAAATGAACTGCTGCACAAAGATGGAGTACTACAGATTTTAGCAAATAAATTTTTAATAAGTCACTTTGCACCCACCTCCACTAAGGGAAGCCACTGTTCGGCGGAGACGCTGAGATACTGGAACTGTTTGTCACCTACGCACTGAAGGTTGCCGACGACCAGTGCCGCAGCCCCAAACACCTCACAGGTGCGGCACAGCCCTGCACAAAGCAAGCTGGATCACTGTCTGCAGGGAGAGGCCAAGCTCAGAGCGAGCTGGATCACTGCAGCGTGATGACAGGCGCATGATGTCCCATTCATACTCCTGGGACTCCCAAAGGGGTCACACATGGAAAAGAGCTGGACCTGGCAGTGTGCTGAATGAAAGTTTTCAGGATCAAAGATTTTAAGGGAGCCCCCAGAATACCACAGTTACCTCCTAAATTGGTGGGTTTATCAATGAGTGAGGCCACCACAATCAGTCGACTGATAGACTTTCCAAGCTTGGCAGCACGATCCTGAAACACTAGCTCCAGGTCTAAATCAGGAACGTTACTCTTCCATGGGATTATCTTCTTCTGAACGTCAGTCCACTCGGACTGGGTGTCTGCTTCACCTGAGTTAGAACCTGGGCGGGGAAAAATAATCCCATTTATAAGCCAGTCTCATATACTGTATGTCCCCAAAAATATACACACACTTTAACAGCTGGTAGCTCAGATTTGAAAATGAAATGTATTTAGTAAGCACTGCCTTTATCATTATTCAAAGTGTGTATATACATTTTTGGGGACACCTGACATATATATATATTATATACATGTTTATATATTTTTAAATATATATGTTTAATATATATACATATATATATATAAAACACATATTTTAAGAGTTTAAAATGACAGTTTAGGATGAGATTCATTAACTAAAGAACTTTACTTGGATTCAGACACAACTGCCATTTTNCACATATTTTAAGAGTTTAAAATGATTAGTTAATGAATCTCATCCTAAACTAAGAACTTTACTTGGATTCAGACACAACTGCCATTTTCACCAGGGATTCTTTTAAGTTTTCAGATTCAACTCTACTAACCATGAAAACATCAGACACCCTTAGACATGCTTTGTTTTTTGTTTTTTTACAGTTTAGCATATCCAAAATTGGGAAGCATCTTAGAATCCATAGGGAGTCATAGTTTGCTATTTTTTTCTTAGAGGTACATAAAATAATGGTGTATATCTTANTTTGTTTTTTATACAGTTTAGCATATCCAAAATTGGGAAGCATCTTAGAATCCATAGGGAGTCATAGTTTGCTATTTTTTTCTTAGAGGTACATAAAATAATGGTGTATATCTTACAACCAATAGTGTGTTAAATTAGAAGTTTCTGCAGAACTATATTCTTGAAAACAATATAGTCTTTATCTTCAATTCTAAGTA